AGATGAGACGAGACATGAGAAGAAAAGAGGTGAATGAATAAGAAAAACCACATGATCATCTGAGATGCGGAAAAAGCATTTGATAGAATTCAACATCCATTCATTAAAAAAAACAAACTACTCTTAGCAAACTAGGAATAGAAAGGATGTCTATGAAAACCCTACACCTAGCATCATACTTAATGATTGAATTTTTTTTAAGATGAGTGTCAAGGCAAGGATGTCCTCTCTGACCACTCTCACTGAAGTCCTTGCCAGTGCCACAGGCAAGAAAAAGAAATAAACATAAGGATTTGAAAGGAAGAAATTAAACCTTCTGTTGGCAGGTGACAGTCTGTGCAGAAAATCCCAAATAATTTACTAAAAAAAAAAAGCTCCCAAACTAATAAGTGAATTTAGCAAGTTTGCAGGATACAAGTTAATATAAAAAAGTAAATTGTGTGGGCCGGCCCCGTGGCTCACTCGGGAGAGTGCGGCGCTGGTAGCACCGAGGCCATGGGTTCGGATCCTATATAGGGATGGCCCGTGCACTCACTGGTTGAGCCGTGGTGTGGACAACACCGTGCCGAGGGTTGCAATCCCCTTACCGGTCAGGGAAAAAAGAAAAAAGTAAATTGTGTTCCTAAATGCCAGCAATGAATAACTGAAAATTTAAAAGGAATATCAGTTACAGTAGCACCAAGGAAATGAAGTACTTAGACGTGAATCTAAGGAAACTTGAGCAGGATCTGCATGCTGAAAACCACAAAACACTAATGAAAGAAATCAAAGGTCTAAATGGAGATACACTGTGTATTTTCATTGGAGCCAAAACATTCTGAAAAAGATGAATAAAGTCTGAGGACTGACACTATCCAACTTTAAGACTCCAAGCCAGCATGGTGTCTGGGGTCAGAATAGACACATGTATCAGTGGAACAGAATAGAGAGCCCAGAAATAGGCCCATACACATCTGCTTAACTGCTTTTTTGACAAAGGCACAAAGATAATTCATGGAGAATCATAGTCTTTTTCAAAAGTGGTGCTGGGAAAATCAGCTGTTGATGTGTAAAAAATGAACCTCGACACGTCCCTCACACCTTATACAAAGATTTCCTCCTCGGGACTGAAAAGCCTGGTTCCATTACAAACGTTTTGTCACATGAAACACCTGGATATATACACGTGGGGTCCGCGAGGATTCTAACTTCAACATTTCTTCTTATAGAGACATCACCACGTACACCCTCATGCTGCTCCTGCTTTTGTTCATGATATATGGGAAATTCTCCCAGGATGAACATTCTCTCAATCAAGCTATCCGCAAGGAATTTATAAGGTAGGAAGGCTGGGGAACTCCTCTAGATCTGGGCCTTTGCACTAGTTCATGGCCAGCATGTGCCCAAGGAGAAGCCCAGAGCTCAGGGTTCTAGGGGGGTGCACATAACTTTGTTACCCTGAGCAAGCCAGGTCACGTCTCTGTCTTCTAGTACAGACAGAGTGTGGCAGGGGAGCGGCCCTACGCGCCACCTCATCCACTCCCTCGGTCCATTTTTCCTGTGCGTGATTCAGGCCCAAGAAGTGTCCTTGCCACAGTCCCACATACGAAACACGGGAAAGGTTGTCAAATTGTCTCGAGGATGCTATTTCCCCAGTCTTACTAAGAGGCCTCCATTCGCAGACTTTGGGCACATTCTTAGCATCTTGTTTTGGGTAAATAGTGAAACAAGGATATTTCAAGGCACTTTAAGATCTGTGCCGAAGCAGTGTCTCGCAGTTTCTTTTTTGGTGAAGACATTTGAGTTCTTCAGTCAAAGGCTTGGTTGCAATTCATAATAAACGACACCAGTTTCAAACAGTTCGTAATACCCCTCAAGTTCTCTATACCATTTCTCATGTGTTCATTTGCTTCTTCCTGCTTTTAAAAGTAGTAGATGTTCATCCTGGGTAAACAGGGAGGAACTGAAAAATATAAAGCAGAAAAATGTTCGTGGTGCCTCCAGGCAGAGGCAAGCAGTGATTGCATTTTATCGGGCTGTATTTCTTTTCCATGTTTCAAGGTCTCTGAAATTAGGATGTGTATTATAATCAACATGTACACTTAATGTAGCATTCCTTTTTTATTGAAAGTTGTTCTTAAATCCATGGTCAGACTTGATTTTCTCCTGCCCAAAATAGTCGGATAGCTCTTTCAAGACAGTTTGTCTTTTTTTTTATTTTTAGCTTAGTTCTTTTTTTTTATTTTTATTTTTTTTATTTTTTATTTTTTATTTTTTAAATTTTTATTTTGTCAATATACAATGTATATGATTATTATGGCCNTTAAAACTGCAAGAATCCCAAAATGTGAGCACGGACTGTGTTGGCGAGGGTGTGGCAGAAAAGTCCTCCGATAAGGAGCTGGCGGGAATGTAAAGTGGTGCAACCTGGGGGTGGTGTTGGCGGTGTTGGGAAGCCTCTAGCACAATGACAGATGCATTTCCTTTCACCCAGCAGCCCCACTTCTAGGAATCACCCATAAAGGCACGTTAGCAAAACACGAGCAGACCTATGCACAAGACAATTCAGCAGAGACCTTTGTAATGGGAATATCCTAGGAGTAACCCACAGGTCTTCCTGCAGGGGACAGGAACACAGTGGAGTAGTGTCCAGCTGTCAAAAAGCATGCGGGGGGCTGGCTGGTTAGCTCAGGTGGTTAAAGGTGTGGAATTGATAACACCAAGGTCCAGGACTGTTCGATTCCTATACTAGCCAGCCACAAAAAACGAAAAAACAAAAACATGCAAATTCTCTCTCCAGACTCCTAGGGAGAGGCCTTCAGGATCTGTTTTATGTGGAAGAAGTCAGGTTTGCTGCCAGCTACTTACTGAAAGGGACTATGACTATATATGCACGTGGATCTGCTTATCCTAAATAAAACAAAGGAAGACACCCAGGCAGCTTTAGAAAGTAGTTTCCTATAGAGTAGAGAAGAAGTTAAGATTTTAAAAACTTTGTGTTAAGATTAAAAATTTGATCTTACAAGTCTAGTCCCAAAGGACAGTAAAGTACTCTGGGGAATATCATAAAGTTGTTTTCACTATTTGTATTGTAGTGGAGCATTGTTATCTTTATTCTGATTGTTGATTTGTT